CATCTTGTGATCATGAAAGAAGGTAGCCCAAGGCACTAGCTGCATATTATAGAGATTCAAGAAGTAGGTAGAAAAAGAACTAGTCCCTGATATCATTATTGAGTGGATGAGTCACTGCTTCTGGATTTACTGCTATATGAAATAGTATATTGACTTTTTGTGTGGCACTCAGAGTATTTTAGTGTACATAGGATTACCAAATTTAACAAACAAAAATAAAGGATGCTGAGTTAAATTTGAATTTCAAAGCAACAATGAATAATTTTTAGTATAAGTTATGTTGAATGAGATATTTATCCCATGTAATAGCTGAACATACTTCTACCATTTTTTGTTGTTATCTAAAATTCCAGTTCAGATTTAATTAGGAATCCTTGAGTGTTTAACCTGGAAACCCTGCACTTTCAATTAAAAGTGATGAAAGGTTTTTTATCAGGCCCGACATGGCACTGTAGAATGAGCACTGGACGTAAGGTTGGTGTGAACTGCAAGGTCAGTGGTTTAAACTCACCAGCCACTCCTCAGAAACGCTCTCCAGGGTGACTTCACATTGGAACTGATTCAAGGGCAGAGGAGAACCAGCAGTGGAGAACGTCCTTGGGACACTGACATTCCTGCACGTTGACCCTCCTTGACCCAGGGACAGAAAGTTGTGACACTAGAGGATTTGTCAGAGAAGCAGTTGCAGCAGAACCAAGAGCCAGAGCACAGACAGAGTGGTGAGCGTCCCAGCCCAAGTCAAGTAAAGCTGAATGGCTTTGGGCAGAAGGCTTGCTTGCAGATGAGTTGCCTCCACACACATAAATGGGGGGGCTGGGTTTGCTGACCCATGGAGCTCTCATCCAGTGCCTTCAGGCTGAGATTTGTGGTGGAGTGGTGTGCCCTGGAAGCATTGATCAACAGTCCTGAAAGAGCTTTGTAACATTGTCCAGGCAAAGAGAGACCTGCTTGTGGGCATGGTTGAAGACAGGCTGTCCTGATTGGAAGAACTGGGTGTCCCTGAGCATTTTCTGATCCTGTATCATAACCTGTAACTTCCATCATAAACCCTGTACCTGTGAGTTGAATGTCCACTCTGTATACCCATTGCAATGGATTATTGAAGACAGCTGAGTAGAGAGGGCTATGGGAGGGATGACTGGTACCATTTTGTGCATGTTCCTTCCCCCACCATACCTTTTACAGGGTGAGTGGAATAAGATAGGGGTAAGTGAGGTATCTTGTGGGCTGTGAGGCTTTATATATCACCTTACTCCATAATTGAGGTTTTTCTCCTGACTCTGATACCGACACATATAAGGTTGTTCAGGAAATGGTAAATATCATTAATTATGATAATTACAGTATTTAAACAGAAAAAAGGTAGTTTTGCCTTCTTCTGGAGGGCAGGGACCATCTTATTCGTAGTGTCTTCAACATCTGTCAGAATGGGTGCCACACACTCAAAGGATAGACATTCCGCAGAGCTGACTTCCTTACGGGCAATGAATAGACCCTACAATCTTCCTAGTGTAAGCCATCATGTTCATTCTGAAATGACAGTTGTGATATCAGGATGACAGCTGTGAATTGGGTCTCACTGTGCTTCTATAATCCTAGGGAAGAGAAATGGTGAAGAAGGGAATAGCAGCTGCCCGTGAAGAGTTAGAGGGCTGCCAGATAAGAGAGGGGCTTGCTCACACTATGGACTCCAGAGGGTAGAACTAGGGTCAAGGTAGGGTGAGGCTTGACCAATCAAACCTGCCCAGTACTGCAGTACCTCAAATGTGGTGAGGTTTCCGCACCAAAGTGCTAACTTACAGATTCTAATGAATATTATAGCAGTGATTGCAGCCTTGTGTTTTTTCCTTAATTTTTAAAAATAGGACAAATGATCCCAATTCATCAACTCTCAAATTGAAATGCCTCTGTTAGCTCTGAGGGGGTCAAACACAGCAACGATTGTTAGGATGGTGCAGGACCAAGTGATGTTTTGGGACAGAACCCACTGGACGTCACCTAACAGCAACAGAAAGAGCAAGTCCAGTGGTCTTAAAATTTTGCTGAAGATTAGAATTACCTAAGGAGCTCAGAAAGATTCCAATGCCTAGGTCAGACCTACAGAGATTCCAACTTAATTAGCCTGAGGCATGGCCTGAACATAAGGGTTTTTTCAAAGTTCCCCATGTGATTTGAATGTGCAGCAACTTGAGAACCACCACACTAATTAGCATGAGGTGTTGTTGTTATGTGTCGTGGAGTTGGTTTCGACTCATAGCGACCCTGTACAGGGTTTCCGAGGTTATAAATCTTTATGTGAGCAGAAAGCCTCATCTTTCTCCTGCGGAACAGCTGGTAGTTTCGAACTGCTGGCCCTGAGGTTAGCAGCCCGATTCGTAACCACTAAGCTATCAGAGCCAGCATGAGGTGTAGTACTGTAAAATAAGCTCATGACCTCAAGTTCAGTTTGAACTACGAGGTTGGTGGTTCAAACCTACCAGTCGTTCCTTGGAAACCCTATACTGGGTCGCTGAGTCATAACTGACTCAACAGCATTTAACACCACTTAACAACACTAACTTGAAAGCAGTCCTTTTAGCATAGTGGATTACATGCTGGGCTGTTAATCTCAAATTCAGCAGTTTGAATCCACTAGCTGCTACACAGGAGAAATAAGAGACTTCTGTAAAAATTTAGAACCATGGGGTCCCTGAGTCAGAATCAACTCGATAGCACAGAGCAGCAAATTATTCTGAAAAGTCCTAATTCTGGATTCTAGTTTGGAATCTGATCTAAATACTTATCTTTGAGCAACTCCTTTAACTTTTAGTCCTGTACCAGGAGGAGCTCGGTTGCTCCATAGGATAAGCACTGGACTATGATTCACTAAGGTGGTGGTTCGAGTTCACTGCTGCTCCGCTGGAGAAAGATGAGGCTTTCTTTAAAGGCTTTAAAGCCTCAGAAACCCTATACAGTGTTGCCATGAGGTAAAACCCACTCTATGACACATTAAAAAAAAAGTCCTTTATTAGGAGCACTCATAACGCTGTAGTATAAACACTAGAGTTCTAAGCACAAGCTTGGCAGTTCAAATCCACCATCTGTTCCACTGGAGAGTGATGAGACTTCATGCTCCCCATAAAACTTTACAGCCTTAGAAACCCTCTGAGTTGGAATAGACTAGATGACACCTAATAACAACAACGGCCCAATAGCTGATATTCAAGAAACAAATAAACACAGGTTTATTTGTTCCTATTTACTAATCTGTAGTGAATAGTTTCACATTTTAACAAATTTTTCGGCATTGGAGATTGCTAATCTGAAAAAAAGACTTTGAATCTGTAGGAAGGCGCTGTGGCGTTGGGAGACAGACACTGGTCATACATAGAAGCAGAATCTTTGATGTGAAAAAAAAATGTGAAATTGTTCATTACAGGTTACTAAGTAAGCATAAATAAGTCTGTGTCTGCCTTGTTTACTAGGTAATCCAGCACTGCTCATGTTGTTGTTGTTATGTGCTGTCGATCAGTATAAGGAGGTGCCGAGGCTGTAAACCTGTGGGAGCAGAAAGCCTTATCTTTCACCCAAACACTGCCTAAAATCCTTGTTTGTTATAAATCAAGGGATTTCTAAAGCACCTTCCTCTAAAACTTTATTATTCTAGGGCCCCTGGCTCTTAAAGATTTATGAATTGAGGATGGGGCACTAACCTGCCTTGTGGAAACAATGGAGACTCTCCACTCAGAGACATGGGATAAATCTGCCTTATTGGGGCACCTCTTGGTCTGTGTTAATGACAGTCACAGACTCCCCTCACTTAGGGATATGAGGCAAGTGTGGCACCAATAGCAATGAAATGACCTTTGTTTCAGCAAGCTCTTGCTTACAACACGCTTACATCTCAATTTGAGAAGAAAAACAGAGAGAATAAAAGAAAGTAGCTTCCTTTTCTCTTCATGATATCAGGAGATGCTTCACTATGAGAGTTATAATCAACTGATGGAAGATTGGCTGTATTTTTTTGCACTTTCCATTTGTAGTTTTGTTTCCAAAGGCGTTACCGGCATTTCTCTTAATTCAGATTTGCTGTTGAAGCTTCAATTGTAGAATATTGTTGTTGTTATGTGTCGTGGAGTCGGTTCCGACGCATAGCGACCCTGTCCAGGGTTTCCGAGGCTGTAAATCTTTACGGGAGCAGAAATCCTCCTCTTTCTCCCGCGGAACCGCTGGTAGTTTCCAACTGCTGAGCTATGAGACATGAAACATTAACATTTCATAGCGAAAATATGATTCCGTGATTTTTATTTTTAAGCAAGCCACTTCTTGCTTCCAAAAGGCAAAGTACTTTTGGAAGCATAGTCTCTTTTTATTACATTAATATTTCCTGAAATTCTAATTTAAAATATTCCACTCCTATGCATACAATTCAAGATAAATGACCCAGTTGAAATGCAACCAATGTTATTGGGAGAAATTGTAAAAACTTTGGATCACTTGTCAAAGAGTTAAAAATGTTCTCTTCCTCATGGTGTAGGAAATGGATAGTGTTACTCTTAGATATTTAAGTATATGCCATTAGTGTTCTACGGAAACGCTGAAAGAACAACGTTTTAAAGTCAGGAAGGGTAAGAAGCAGCAAGAAGGTTCATAGGTCACTATTTCAGTGACAAATCACAGGAGGTGGCTGCATAAAGGTTGTGAAAACTAGTTTCTCATTGCAGGAATTGGGTTGGGCCACTCCTTTACCCCCCTTCTCAAACACAAATATTTTCATATAATAAAAGCCTGTTTCCCTATGGTTATAACCCAGCCTCCCTTCCCCCGACACTACCATTTTAAAGGGGGTTTACTGTGCGTGTGTTTCCAAAGTTCCTAGGCTTTTTCTCTTTCTGGACCGTGTCTTGTAGAGGTGAGGTGTCCCTTTGGGGACTCACGCCCGGTGAGGGGACAAGAAACACCCACTAGGACCCAACCCGGGCAGCCAGAGGCCCGAGCATGCGCTGAGAGTTTGTGCAGCTGGCCCCGGCTGCCGCCGCTGCCTTGTCCGGACTTGGCGAGGACTTGGGAGGGACAGCAACGCTGGGAGGTGGCTTAGCAGAGACTTTCCAACAACTGCTGCCCAGGAGGTTCCCCCCCCCCCTCCTTTTTTTTTTCCCAGGAGGCGACGGCGGCGGCAGCGTGGGGAGAGGAAGAGAAGGAACCGTCTCTCTCCAGTTGGAGCCTCATGCAGCCCCTCGGTTCTCCGGGAGGAGCCTAGTAGTCCTGATGAGCTCCCGTCGCCCGTCTCCGACTGTACCCAGGCGGGAGTGGAGTGCCGGGCCCAGTGCCGACGGTGAGTGGCGCGCGTCTCCCGTCCTTCCTGCCGCGCTCCCGCCCGGCGCTGGCCGCCCTCGGTGCCGGTTGCTAAAGCATTTACAGGCGGTTCTGAGCTCCGCGCCGCTCCGCGCGCTCGGCCGCCGCGATTCCCCCCGCGCCCGGCCGGGGGCGCGCGTGGAGATGCCGGGCTTTGTGCTCACCTACCTCTTGGAGCGCGGGGTCTCTGCCCGGCCGGGACTGGGTGGGTGTCTGCACACCACTGGGCGCCTGCACAGCTGCGCAGACCCTCAGTTCCCGATGCCCCGCCCGCCCATGCCCTAGGCTAATCCATCCTCCTGGCCTGAAAACCTCATTTCTCACGTTCTTCCCAAGAAATCTAAGTCGCTGGGCGGAATCCCAGCTCAGCACGGCGCCCCCTCTGGTCCCGCGCGTTCTCACCAACTGCGGGGACAGGGTGAGGGGTATATGGGGTTAGAAGTCAGCGCACTGTCCTCATTGCAAGCACACTCGTGCCTTCAGGTTTGCTGGCGGCGCCTGTCCAGGGGGACAGTCTGGTTTCTTCCCTTTGGGGCAGTCCGAGAGGGAGGCGGATGGGCGTGGATGGAGAGAGACTTTAAAGAGTGCCTCATCAGGATGCAGAGGTGTCCCCTGAGAACCGAGAGCGCCTTCCATTCATTCTGGGAGTCTATTTCCTTCCCAACAGGTGTTATCTACAGTCCGTCCGGACTTTGGGGGAGTTTCAGTTACTATTTAAAGTTTAACAAACGATTTTTGATGAAGCGATATCTCGGATGAACTAGGTTTCGTACCCTCTTGGACTCAGCTGAGGAGTCTGGGTGTCACAGTGGTTCAGCATTCAGCTCCTAGCCAAAGGCCCTACCAGCCACTCCTCTGGAGAAAACTGAGGCCGCCTGCATTCTAAGGATTTGTTGTTGCTAAGTGTCTTGGAGTCCGTTCAGATTCATAGCGACCCTATCTGCAGAGGTTTTCTGAAGAGTGTGGATGGTGGATTTGAACTGCCAGTGCGTATATACAGCACCACACCAGGACTCAAGATTTACAGCTTTAGAAATCCTATGGGGCAATTCTACCCCGCCCTATAGGGCCACTTTGAATTGGCACTCCACCACAAGGGGTTTGGTTTTGGTTTCAGGGACCTAGCTGATGGCTGGCAGAGGAGGGCTGGGCTGGGGCGCGGGGGAGCAAGATGATGAGAGATCCCTTGTTGTCCCCTGCAGGTCGCTTTTGCTGTTTTCCCTGCTGGGATAGGATGTGGTGAGAGGATGGGGCTTCTTCCTCCTGGGGCTCACAATGGCCAGAGAAGATTCTGTGAAGTGTCTGCGGTGCCTACTCTACACTCTCAATCTGCTCTTTTGGGTAAGTCCAGCAATTTCACTGCACCAACAGGTGGCGACGGCTGGACCGGGGTTTCTGCTGTCACCAGATAATGTGCCAAAGGGCATGGCTAGGCATTAATTAATTACATGGCATCACACCCTCCATTTTTCAGAGAAGTCTATGTCAACCTTCATGAGATGCCTTTGATCCAGTTCAAGTTGCATTTACAATTAGAAAAGAGAAATCCGCCGCTAGTAGCTGGTGGCACTAAATTAGACATGGAGTTAATCTCGGGATATAAATAAATGCACGTGCTTGTACTTGTAGATAAAAAAAATCATGACATACTGCTTAGGGAACTGCTTGTTTCCAGGAATTTCAGATAACTTTGCAAGCCACAAATGTTTTCTTCCTTCATCTCAGCCTAGAAAATCTGATTAGGGCAAGCAGTCTGAACTGAGTTTTTGTAGGGTTCCATTCCCAAATATCCTATCTGAACATTGGGTAGATTTTCTTAGGGATTCCATACAGACTGAAAGGTGGTTTTTATGTAACTGTTTCCAAGTTGGAAAAGTTTTAGGGAATTTTCTGTATGCTTTTGGAAAACTCCCATAACCATTTAAGGAAACAAAATACATAAAATTTAACAAGCTCATGGAAATCTTTATGTATGCCTTCTGAGCTAGTGACTTTTTGTGCTGTTCGCCCGGTCATGCATTTTCATAAGGTGTTATTAATAAATCACATTAATATTTATAACATTTATGAGGAAAATAAAAATTGACATTTTGAAAGTTGCTTTAGGAACTTTGCTGGAACAGATATTCTCTTGCCATATTTTGTGTTCTTTTAATGATTTATATTAAAAATGTTAGAAATGTTAATATGTCATTTATTTACTTGCCTGGCTGGTCTGGCTGATGTTGGCTGGCTGATTGACTGGCACCAACCATTTTTCAGAATGTTATTACATGTGATCCAAATAGGATGACGTTTCGGTAAAGGTGCTCCTTATGAGCAGCATCAAATTACTGTGACAAATTAACCCTTACTACAGAGGTTTGAACTGCAAGGTCGGCAGTTCAAAGTTACCAGCTTCTCCACAGACACCCTATATACACCCTGTATAGGTGACTGAGGGGTGACTGAGGGGAGTTCTGGTGTGACACTGTAGAATAAAACACTGGACTTGCAAGGTCAGTTAGAACTGAAGGTTGGCGGTTCAAACTCACCAGCAACTCCTCAAAAACCCTATACAGGGTCGCTATGAGTCTGAACTGACTTGATGGCACTTAACAACAACAATAAAAGTGACTGAGGAATCCTGGTACAGTGCTGTAGGATAAGTACTGGACCACTAGCTGCAAGGTTGGGAGTTCAAACTCACCAGCCCCCCTTGGAAACCATATACAGAGTTGCTGTAAGTTGGAACTGACTCGATGGCACTTAACAGAAGCAACAACCACTACCACAGCAGCAGTGACAGATGTGAAAAAGGATCTGAAACGTCAGAAATTTTTTACCGTGAAAATTAAGTTAATAAATGTAAAGCCACAGTAACTGATTTTGTTTTGGTTTCATAAAAGTGGACCATTACATTACCTACTTAGTAATAGGCATTACAGTTTTGAACTCCATTTCCTTAAAATGTATAAGTATCACTCCTGCGCTGTGGATTAATACATTCAACTGCAAAGTCAGTTTGAACCACAAGGTGGATGGTTCAAGTTCACCAGCCGATCCTTGGAAACCCAATACAGAATTGCTCTGGGTTAGAACCGACTTGACAGCACAAAACAAGAACAGCAACAACACACTTCCTACCTTATCACTTATCTACAGTCTGTTTTCCAAGTATAGAATAATCACAGTTTATGACCCTCAACGAGATGCATCAGCCAAGTGACATCATTGATGGCGTCAAGTGTGGCGGCGGTAGTGAGGTTGGCCCAGGATCGGACATTGTTTCGTTCTGCTGTGCATGGGGTGGCTATGAGTCAGTTCCGACTCGATGGCACCTGACAACAATGACAACATGACTGAAAGGGCCTTTGTTGTTGTTGTTGTTGTTAAGTGCCGTTGAGTCGGGTCCGACCCATAGCGACCCTGTACAGGGTTTCCGAGGGTGTAAATCTTTACGGGAGTAGAAAGCCTCATCTTTCTCCCGCGGAGCAGCTGGTAGTTTCGAACCGCTGACCTTAAGGTTCGCAGCCCGATTCGTAACCACTACGCTACCAGAGCTCCTTAAAAGTGGCCAAATGGTCAGATTTTCTGACTGTGTAAATGAAGAGAATAAGTACAAGTTAAATGCCTTGTCCAAGGCCAAAGACCCAGTGGTACCAGTAAAAGGAACAGAATTCAACTCTCTTGCCCCTTGATAGAAACTTTAACATGTAGTTTACTGAGGATTGTGTCTTATAATTACAAAGATTTATTGTTTAACACAGGATAATATATTGGAAAAATTTTTTAAACATCTCTTTTACATGTATGAGTGTTGGGGGCTGGTGTAAATTAAAAATATTCAACAAAAATGTTTCTCTTCTGAGGAAAAAAAAATGTTTAAGAATACTTATTTCTTAATTCTTCCAAGGTTCTTTGTGTCTTTGGAGAATTTTAAATTCTGTTTCATTGTCATTTTGTTGTATTTCCACATGGTGGGTTTTTGTGTTTGGTGATCTATTTATTTGTATCTATTTTGGCTGCTTTCTCCTTTTTCCTATTCTCCTCATACCATCTCTTCTCCAACAAAGTGATCCATGTTAATGGCCGAGTATGTATCACTAATGTGTATTTTTCTTTGTTTCATACGAAGTTCTATTTACTTATACCTGCCCATATATATCCACTCAAATATATGTACACTTACAAGTCTATTTCTCCTCATAGTGACAGGGTTTCTGAGGCTATAAATCTTTATAGGAGCAGAATGCTTTGCCTTTCTCCCATGAAACAGCTTCTAGTTTTGAACTGATGACCTTGAGTTTGGCAACCTGACTTGTAACCACTATGCTACCACAGTTTATCTATCTATCTATCTATCTGTCTGTTTATCTATCTATATCTCTATCCTTTTAGATTTTCCCTAAAGTCTTTGTCTGCTAACTTATCTATTGAAATACAGGATGTTACTCTGATGGTCCAGTGATTTAAGCATTGGATGATAAACGAATGGTCAGTGGTTAAATCCCATCAGTAGCATCACAGCAGAAAGATGAGAAAGTTTCCTTCCCTAAAGACTTACAGCCTCGGAAACCCTATGGAGCAATTCTACCGTGTCCTACAAGGACATCATGAGTTACAATCAACTTGATGGCAGTGGTTTAGGGGATTTTATTGCAATACAATAATTTTTGTTTTTATTGCAATACAATTATTAAATTTTATTAGACTAAGAGGCAGCCATTCCAACAGAACAAGGGGGCATGAAATGGTTAAAAATTAGGAAAGGTGTGCTCCAGGGTTGTAGTCTTTCACTCAGTCTGTATACTGAGCAAATAATCCAAGAATCTGGATTATATGAACATGAATGTGGCATCTGGATTAGAGGAAGGTTTATCAACAACTTGTGATATGCAGATCATACAACTTTGTATGCTGAAAGTGAAAAGGATTTAAAATGTTTATTGATAAAGATCAATAAACATTTTGAGGTGTGGGTTGCACCTCAATGTAAAGAAAACAAAAATCCTCACAAATGGACCTATAAACAACATCCATATAAGAGAAAAGACTGAAGTTGTCAAAGACTTCATTTTGCTAGAATCCACAATCAATAATCATTGAGGCAGCAGTCAAGAAATCCAAGGACTTACTGCATTCAGTAAATCTGCTCGACAAGACTTCTTTAGAGTGTTCACGAGCAAAGATATCTATCAGCTTGAGGACTAAGGTGGGCCTGGCCCAAGCCATGGTATTTTCAGTAGCTTCATATGCATGTGAAAGTTGGACAATGAATAAGGAAGACTGTAGAAGAATTGATACATTTGAGTTATGGTGTTGGAGAAGAATGTAGAATGTACCATGGCCTGCCAGAAGAACAAACAAGTCTGTGTTGGAAGAAGTATAGCCAGAATACTCTTAGAAGCCGGAATAGCAAGACTTCATCTCTCATACCAGACATGTTATTAGAAGGGACCAGTATATCATACTAGATAAAGTTGAGGGTCATCAAAAAAGAGGAAGACCCCAATGAGATGAATTGGCACAGTGGCAGCAGGAATGAGCTCAAGCTTAACAATGATTGTGAGGATGGCACAAGAGTGGGCAGTGTTTTGTTCCTAGGGTTGTTATGAGTCAGAGCTGTCTCACTGGCACCCAACAATAAAAACAACACAGTATTAAATACATCCTTCTATGGAATGTGGAAGTTGGAAACAAAGAGGAAGGGTCAGTAGTTGGAAAATCATGCTGGAGATCACATGGTAAACTTTTGCTAGACCAATGACATATTCATTGCAAATATCTTTTTTCATCAACATAAACAGTATACATGGACCTCACCAGATGGAATACTCAGGAATCAAATTGACTACATCTGTGAGAAGATATCATGGAGAAGCTTAATAATATCAGTTTAAAGAAGACCAGGGGCCATCCATTGCTCATATGCAAATTCAGTCTGAAGAAAATTACAACAAATATGCAGTTGAGCCAAAACATGACTGAGTATATCCCAGTTGAATCTAGAGACAATCTCAATAACAGATTTGAAGCATTAGGCACTAATGACTAAATACCATAGGAGTTGTGGGATGACATCAAGAACATCATGCAAGATGAAAGCAAAAGGTCATTAAAAAGACAAGAAAGAAAGAAAAGACCAAAATGGATGTCAGAAGAGACTGAAAGTTGTTATTCAACATAGAAAAGATAAAGTGACTGGAAGAAATGAACAAGTAAAAGGGCTAAAGAGAAAATCTGTAAGGGAAGCTTGAGAAGACAAAGTCAAGTGTTATAATGAAATGTGCAAGGACCTGGAGGTAGAAAATCAAAAGGGAAGAACACACTCAGCATTTCCAAAGCTGAAGGAACTAAAG